TTCACGCGGCTCCGGCGCTCTCCGGTGCCGGCCCGCAGCTCCGCGCTCCTGTGGCCCTCGGGCGGTAGGGCGTGAGCCTGCCTGTGCGCCTAACGGGCTCCTAAACATTCCCGGTATATTCCTGTTATTAAACACCTGGGTGTTTTTTTTCCAAAAATTTATAAAATAAATTTAAAAGGCAGGCGGAAGGTTCCCGTAGGTTTTAAGTCTTGCATAATGCAGGGTGATTTCAGACCCGTGCGGCGTCTGGACTGACGGGATTTGAAGCGTGGGTGTATCCAGCACCGATGCAGTGGCTTTCTCGTAGCTGTCGGTGTGTCTTTGCTGCTGTTCGTGCATCTTAGCCAAGGGGGCAGCCCGCTCCTGGTGCTCCGTAGCCGCCCATGTCATGCGGGGGACGGTCTTGCGTTTCGAAATAAATAAACTGCTTCTGCAAATCCCGGGATGTAGCCGGGTTTTTTTCCTGAGTAGTCTGTTTTCTTCTTCAGTACGACCTGTCAGCTTCCACGTTTTCTCCAGATGGCAGAGTGTTTCAAGTTGAATACGCTATGAAAGCTGTGGAGAACAGTACGTAAGATACAAATATCTGCATCTCTGTCTGTCGGTCGGCCTTTCTGAAAGCAGCGTGATTGGACTAGACAAGCGTGACGGCATTGCAGGTAAAACTATGTCGTTAGAATTAGTTCTGAGCAACTGTGTGTCTCTAGGTTCATTTTAGGGGGCTTCAAATTAAGCGTAAAAGTAGTATAATCACTTTTGCTTGCTAGAAATCACTTTTCACGCTTTCTAGGAATCACTTTTGCTTGCTAGAAACAGATATGTTGTGGAGAATGCAAAGGAAGGCAGTGAACTTACTCATGTGTGTTAAGGGCCATAAAAACTTTGTGCTTTGGGGCAAAATCTGATTGCAGGCCTCATTGATACGTGCGAGGTGCTTAGCTGTTACGGTATTAGAGCTGCTGTAGCAGTATCTAAAAGCCCGTTTTATGGATGTGAATTGAGGCGCTGAGAGACTGACGCGCTCAGGGCCTCGTAAATTTATAACTTCGTATGCATTCCTCAGGAAACTGAGGACATCCAAGTTCTGCTAAAGCTACATCGGCATCTCTGAGAGTATCTCTCTGCCCTCGAGTGTATGCAAAGGCGTGCTGTAAAGCGAACATCCCAGCTGTGCTCTCGCGGCAGTGAGATGATCGATTAGCAAGGCATGGGCTGGGTCTCCCAAGTGTCTGATCGTAGCCCCAGGCTGCCAAATAAGGATCAGTGAAAGTGTTTTGTGTAGTGGTTCGTGCCGTAGTTGCTCATTTATGCCCGATGATGTGCTGTGTGAGGGTTAGAGAAAGAGTTGTCGCATCTCCTAGATCAGCCAAAAGGAGAGGTTAAACAGCCCATGGTTTTCATCTTGGTGTCGTTCAGCTCAGTGACGGGGCAGCGGCTACGCAGTCGCTCCAGACAGTGCCACCACTGCGTACAGTCTGTTCAAAACTGCGGGGGGAGGGACTTTTGGCAGCCCCCTCCTCCTTGATTTAAGAAAATGTCTGTAGGTTTGGTGAGCTTTGGGTTCCGCCCCTGCCCCCTTGTTGTCTTCAGTGCTAAAGTGGAGTTGTAACAAATCTACTTCAGGGGAAATTATGGCATTGTTTCTCGTATTTTGTTACTTCTTTGTTACGTATTTTACGCTGCAGTGCTGTGTGAGAAACTTATCTTTATCCTGTTTTTCAGTACAGCAATTGCGATCAGATGCAAAGATGGTGTTGTCTTTGGAGTAGAAAAACTAGTTCTGTCCAAGCTTTATGAAGAGGGCTCCAATAAACGTCTCTTTAATGTCGATCGACATGTTGGAATGGTAAGGTGCTGTTTTAGTTTTTCATAATTTGAAGGGGACTCCCCTCAGAAGTAGAAATCTGTGTATCACAGAATCAATAATAAGTAGATTAAGAAAGTGATGCCAATGTTTTTGTGTACGTAGTTGGAAATGCCAGTGGATTTCTTTTTTACTGTTTTCTGTAATTTATTCTTGATTGCACAAACATACAGAAGTTAAGTCCAAATTTAAAATAGAAGACGTACGTATTTTGAGACTCTCTTAAATGTTTTAAAAATGTTTTTCAGCACTCCAGTTTAAACGTGAATGTAAATATAAGCACAAGTGTTAAAGCCATCCTTTTTTATGCAGTTAACAAATAAGGTGTGTTGAGGGGAAAACACGCTGCGTACAAGATCACAGAATCATAGAATATCTCAAGTTAGAAGGGACCGATAAGAGCCGTCGAGTCCAACTCCCAGAAGATTCTCAACAGCGTGGGAGTCAGCTGAATTCTGTAAAGGCTGGCGTATAGATTACTGGCCAATCCGTAACAGTGATGCCAGGACGATATCAAGTAGATGTTACTGTGTGACAGAATTACCTGAAACTATCTGCTGGTGACATCGTCAGTATCGGGTAGAGAGCTGGATTTGCCTCTAATCCAAGTAGTCATACACAATGGGGGAAAAAAAACAGTATATTGCTATGGTTATCTTTTTTGACATATCAGATGAAATATTATAATAAACAATGCTTCATATATAATACAAATATTTATAATATGAAGTATTGTTTGGGTTAGTGTAGTGGTGGCAAATCATAAGACACTGTTTAACATGAAGACAATTTTGGTTATTGACTTTTCCTAGAGAAAAACTCTGTACTGTATTAATATATAATCATATTGATGTGTTTTGAGCTTGCTAGCAGATGAGTAGCTTGATTGAATTCACTTGTAGTCGTACACAGAATTCAGTAACGATCACAGTTAACTCACATAATTAGGCTTTTGTACATTGATTTTATTAATAAGTTATTGCAAGGTATGTTTGGCCTAGCTGATGACAATTCTCATTTCAGGCAGTAGCAGGACTTCTGGCAGATGCTCGTTCTTTGGCGGACATAGCTAGAGAAGAGGCGTCTAACTTTAGATCTAACTATGGCTACGATATTCCACTGAAGGTAAGAAATGGGCGCGGTTCACTCGGGTTTTCTGGATTTCTTAGTCTTGACGGGACAACCAGGCGGTCAGGCCCAGGCTGCATGGGTTTATGAAAGGCAGGTCCCGCTTGACTAACCTGATCTCCTTCTATGACAAGGTGACCCGCTTAGTGGATGAGGGAAAGGCTGTGGATGGTGTCTACCTAGACTTTAGTAAAGCCTTTGACACCGTTTCCCACAGCATTCTCCTGGAGAAACTGGCCGCTCGTGGCTTGGACGGGTGCACTCTTTGCTGGGTAAAAAACTGGCTGGATGGCGGGGCCCAAAGAGTGGTGGGGAATGGAGTTAAATCCCGTTGGCGGCGGGTCACAAGTGGTGTTCCCCAGGGCTCAGTGCTGGGGCCAGTTCTGTTTCATGTCGTTATCAATGATCTGGACGAGGGGATCGAGTGCACCCTCAGTAAGTTTGAAGACGACACCAAGATGGGCGGGAGTGTTGATCTGCTTGAGGGTAGGAAGGCCCTACAGAGGGACCTGGACAGGCTGGATCGATGGG